CTTCACCCTCTCTTTACCCCCACCCCCTTACACCCCTTCCCCTCCTCGTACATACACAGACACACTACGGATACAGACTCACGCGCCTATCCCCTCTTCATCCCTCAGTCTCTCTCTCTCTTTCTCTCTCCCTCTCCTCCTCCCTCTTCCCCCGTCTCATTCACCGTCCCCCTCCCCGATCCTCGCGCACCCCTCCCCCCCTGCAACCTCCAACTTACTGCCACCGACGAGACGTCCTATTATGGGTTGTGTGTCTTTGCGTCCCACCGCCGCCGCCGCCGCCGCCGTCGTCTCCGCCTCGTCCTGCTCCCCACGTTAATCGGCTCTGCTCTCTCAGAGCCTGGTCGTCCACGACCACGTCCCCTCCTGATACGACTGCCAAATTGATGCTTGTTACCATTGCTCCTCAACCGCCGCTCTGCCCCGTCCGCCCTGTCTGCTTGGCTCTCTGACGTACATGGTAGAGCTTCATCAGCTACCCTGGTTCGGGTTCAAACAGCTTCCTGCTCTTGTCGACAACGGCACCTTGCCAGGCCGTGGCCGTGGCCCTACGTCGGCATCCCGAGCCTTGAGCCCTGAGCCCTGAGCCTTGAGCCCGATCTGCCCTGTACTTGACAAGGCCTGCTTTTGTCGCTCTGTTCTATCCCCGTTTACTCCAGTTGCTCGACCCCCATGGTAGCCTGGACCGTTTCTCTCTACAAATTCGTCCAGTCTTCCGATCTTCACGCGCAAATACCAGTTCTGCCGTCGGGCACCGACATGATATAAGTCCATCGCCGGCTCCGCGATCTCCATCTTGGCCATTGACCACTTTGGTGCCTGCGTCTGCTGCTCCTCTGGTTCTGCTACTCCCCCAGCTTCCGAAGCTAAGCTAACGAACCTGGGAGCTCGAGGCCCAACCGCTCGGTTCAGAATCAAAAACCTCCGAGGCCCTCCCTCCTGTTTATATCTATTCTGGAGCCTCTCTTCGACATTCGAGGGTGCAAGATCATCTGCAATCACCGCCAAATCATCTGCACCACTCGTTGTTACCTTCACATAACGACTGCCTCTTTCTACCTCTGGCTCTCTCTATATATTCCCCTGTCTCTCACACATACATACGCCACCACCTCTTGGCTTCTTTTGGTCTGTCTTCGTACCTTCGTCAATCTGCAATCCGACACCTTCCACCTTGGGGTTCAAAAATTGCCCGCCACGCACACATACACATACGTACAAACAAACCTCTCTGTCCTTGACCGCGTCCATAACGAGGCAGAGTAATCGCCCACAGCACGTCGGACTTTTGGACCAGCCATTTCGTCTGTCTGTGCAGCGCTCGAACCTTAAAACGCTGGATCTTGCCATCGACCTCCGGTTCCTGGCCTACGCACGCCACAAGCCTCTTACACGGTCACCTACAAACCGCTGCCATATTTACGAAGAGTACCTGGTTGGCCTGTACAGCTGCCTAGCTACTTTCTGGACGCGCCGTGGACGCCCGTATCGAGCCCAGATCAAGCTTCCCTCTCTGTCCGTCTCTATTTACGACCAGGTGCCTCGCCGTCGCGCCATCCGACGCCCAACTGTGGTTAACTCGACGCGAAGGGTTCCGCTGTTCACCTTGCTGTGGCTGTTGACCTCGAATTTTTTCGTCGAACAAGGTCGATCCGCCGAAAAGAGGCGTACGGGGGGAGGCGGTACTGTGACCTGGATGTGACGACCAGCGCACACCGAACCAAGAACCGACTCTTTCCCAGTTCCAGCTCCACACACTTCATCGTATTCACCTTACCCATCAAGTGCCTTTCATAACCTCCCCTCTTTCCTACCCTGCCTCTCCCAACCGTCTTTTTTTCGAACCTTACTTAGTCTTGACACATATTAAGACACATCTTGGTCAGACTAGATCCCACACAGTCTGCACCATCATCATCACCACCTTGGTCTACCGTCCTTTTAGAATCAGTTCTTCAACGCGCAGCATCATATGCCCACCGCGACGGCAACGGCAACGACCGCAACTTCGTTACTCACTCCATCGCACTTCGCGTACTCTGTTGGTAAGTGGCGCAACTCTACTCTGCTCTGTTTACTTGGACAACGTTGGAAACCGAGAACTTACACACAATTAGACTCGACGCTGCCGGAGGCCAAAATGGCGAATTCCAACGTTCCGCTAAACCCTACGTTCGTAGGACACGTCGCATCTACCTTGGACGCTTTGGTGCTATTCGAAGCGTGTCTCAGCAGTGCTTTGCAGCACGTTCCCCGAAGGCCTCACGACCGTGAGAGACAGGACCTCATCAAAAGCGGAAATGTCTTCATTTACGAGGAGCACTCGTCCGGCATCAAGCGCTGGACCGACGGCGTTGCTTGGAGCCCCAGTCGCATCCTAGGCAATTTCTTGATTTACCGCGAGCTCGACAGGCCTTTCCCCCCCGGCGAAAAAAAGCGTGCCATGAAGAGGAACAAAAAGACGACCGGAGTTACCAAACCCAGTGATGTGGCCTCACGACAAGGAAGTGTTAACGGGGCTGCTGCCAACATGCCTGGTATGGGTGATGGTTCAACCCCGACGAAAGACGCCGAGAGGGCGTTGATCGGTTCATTGGTTGACTCGTATCCTTTCAAAGAGAACGGGCTGGTGAAGAAAACCATCAGCGTCACCTACCAGGGCGTTCCACATCACCTGGTTTCCTACTACAACGTGGAAGATGTGACCGAGGGCAAGCTTCTGACGCCATCTAAAGACCACCAATTGTCGACCATCATCCCTCGAGGCGAACTGATCATGTCTCAAAATTTCAGGGCACCTATCGACGAGGTAGAAATGGATGACTCGAGAGCACCTCACGGCGGTGGTCTTTTCGCCCATCCGTATCCCGTCAATAGTCACCACCAGAGCATGTCGCGCACCATGTCCGTCCCTTCCCTTCACCACATGGGTGGCATGGGTACCCAATTTGGACAAGCATCCTACATGCCACAGTATTTGAGTGCGGTGCCTGGGTCTGTAGGCAACGTTGGCTACGCGCAACCACAACACCACCCGTACTACGACAACATGGGCCGACCAAATAGATATGCCTCTGGCGCAGGTTTGGGCCCCGACTTATCACGGACAATAGCCTTGGAACCTCAGCATCACCCCCGTCGTCATTCCACGGCATACGAGGCCACATCAGGGCCGGACATGAGCCTGACGGGTAGCTTGCCTGCTGTGCCCGATCCGGCAAGATCCATGGGGGGTAATTATATGTCCAGCATGCTCTACTCGCAGCAGCCACAGCGGGTTACCGATATGACATCACACGAGGCTTTCCCTGCTCAGTCTCCAAGAAACGTACACTCCGAATCCGGCTTGGGCGGCGACAGGTCTGCACCAAACATCACCTTCGACGGGATTTCTCGGGATTGGAACTCATTCGACCAACTGGAGGATGATCAAAATCAATACATGTCTCAAGGAAACTCTGCGTGGCCAAGCGGGAGCAACGCCATGAATAGGACTTGAGAACTGGCGACACCTGCCACTGACAGTAGTCCGATCTGTGAGGAAACGGCAACTTGAAAGTGCAGAGGAACAAGTCGCCCTGAACGGGGCCTAGAGCGATCGCCCTTGAACGACAGTGTGCCAAATGTTGCGGGGCGTGACTTCTCAAACGGCAAGGAATCTTACAATACTTCCGCCGAGAAATTGGAAGAGTGTGGGACAGAGGAAACCGAAGCAGGACGACTCGTGACTGGCGTAAGTGCTGGTGGTTTCGGCGCGCCTGTGGAGGTTTATGCGATGATGAAAAAGACTTCGCGGAAGCAGACATGGAGTGTGCCTCGAGAGTCGTGAAGTAGGGGAAGACGAGGCGGCGTTGCGCGGAGAATGAAGATGTTTGTGGCGCATAAAAGCAGTAGGAATGGGGCAAAAACAGTTTACAGATACAGTAGCGCGCGCCGTTTTTGCCGTCGAGCGTTTATAAATGCCCTCTTGTTCAGAAGCCTCTGAAGAGAACGGCTGGATGGAGCTGTTGCTATAGTCACAGTTGTAGTTACAGTGACCAAAATGATAAAACCAAAACCGTCATGCAACCAAACCTCGGTACTGAAGTGGCGCACTTCCTAGCGTATGCCCCGCTACTGGCATGAGCCTGGCCAATTGCAAAGCCTTGCTTAGGAACCTTGCGCAGCTGGAACGAAAGTCCCCGTCGTCGAGTAAGTTCGGGACTGAGCGTGCCCTTCGCAACGGACCGCACCGTAGCTGGCGACTGGCCGACGTCGAGTTCCGGAACCAAATATGGTAATGCTCAGGCTTGGTGGTCGAACGGCCCTGACGCATTGTGGTCAACGACTCAGTAGATGGCCCGTCGCATGCTCGTCACCAGCGTGGCGGCCAGACACCAAGCTGACGGCTCCTCTTCCGACCAAGGCAATTCAGCTTCACCAGCGCCCATGGCCACTTGCGCCCTACACATCTCGAAGCGATGGGAAGAGTACAAGGTATGTTTTTGGACATGTGCATGGAGTCTCGCTGAGCTGCAACGGCTTCTTGTTTCGGTACCAACGGTTGGAGCGAACTACCTGACTAACAACGTCTTGCAGCAGTGCGACGACCTCGTCCAAAATCGCGTCTAAAATCCCTGCGTTCCCAAAGAATCTCCATGAAGATATTTATACCATCCCGAATATTCTTACGTTATCGCGACTCGTAGCCGCACCCTTCGTTGGCTACTTCATATTGCACGATCAGCATGCCTGGGCCCTGGGTCTCTTTGCCTATGCGGGCATCACCGATCTACTTGATGGTTGGATCGCCCGCCGATGGAACCTTCAGACGGTAGTAGGCACCGTCATCGATCCTATGGCCGACAAGACTCTGATGACCGTCTTGACGGTGTGCTTAGCTGCCCAAGGCTCTCTACCAGGTCAGTTTATCCCAGTTTGACGGATATTCGGAGAGAGGGACAAAAACGAGCGGCCATGACAAAGGCAGAAAAGGTGGGATGTGGAGGGGAAATCAACGACGGAAACAGCTGACTTTGCTCTGCCCAAATAGTTTGGCTCGCCGCCATCATCCTAGGCCGCGATGTCGGTCTTGCGATATCCGCCATCTACTATCGCTGGATCTCCCTCCCACCCCCGAAGACCTTCGCGCGGTACTGGGACTTCTCTTTGCCCTCGGCCGAAGTTCGTCCGACGACCATCAGCAAATACAATACGTTCCTCCAACTTGCCCTGGTGGGCCTGACGACGGCCGCGCCAGTCCTCACCTACGACCTTTCTACCCCACTGACCGTTCTACAGTAAGTTGTCGGAAGCTTGGGCAAACCCCCGTATCACTACTTACACCACGGCTAGATACATTGTGGCGACCACGACAGTCTGGAGCGGGGCTAGTTACGTCTTCAGCAAGGACGCAGTCAAGATCCTTTCCGCCCCCAAGGATAAGCCAGCATAGGGCTCATAGGGCTGAGGCATATACGAAGGCCTGGAAGAGACGGAAATATCAATAAGCGCTCCCGCTGTGACCCGGACAGCTTCGGCCGTGAAGAACACCACGATGGACCCCAAGAAATTCCAGGGATGCCTTCACACTTAGGTACACTCATAGGACGCAGCGAGTATGGTATCTTATGTATGCATGCAAAACGGCGTTATGGGTGGGAAACATCAAGAATCGATATAACGGGGCTAGTCATTGGTGGGCACCTCTGCCCGGACACTGGAGAGAATGTGGTCGCTTCCAATAAAAGAAACCACTGCTCAGAATCGTTTATTCATGACTATTCATATTCGTGAGAGGGCTTCCACCATACCTCATCAAGGCAGTTGAGGCATGGAAGCCCTCGGGCTCTCTAATTTGAACTGTCCGGTCTGCTTTGCCAAGCGCTCCGCTCGTTTGATGCGGACCTGATTCTTGATGTAGGAAACCAATCGAATGCACCCAGCAGGGGTGATGCCTTCTAGCCTCCTAGCTTGAGCCAGAGTCTCGGGCCTGATGGCCTTCAGCACATTCTTTTCCGCCGTAGCCAGTCCTGGGACCTCATCGTAATCGACTGATGAGAGATGTACCTTGTCATCATGGCTGAGGACTTTGCGCTCACTGACCTGCCTCTTTACCCAGGGTGTGTACATGGCCTCAATATGAACCCGAGACTTGATGTTCTCAGCGAAGTCACCGATCCCAGGGACAACAGCGGCAACTTGGTCCATCGTGACGTTTCGCAACAGGAGCATGTCAGCAGCGTCGCGATATTCAGATATTTTGCTGAAAGGAAAACCTGCACGAATCCAATCTTGGGGCGCTTTTGATGTTCTCCTGAGCAGAGACATCAGTTCATCCATCTGCTGTTTCTCGTGAGAGAAGGAGCTCCAACGCTTGTCTGTGACGACTCCCCATTCGCGTCCTTGTTTAGTCAACCTCAAATCTGCGTTGTCCGCCCTAGACGCCAGCCTGTATTCACTTCGCGATGTGAACATTCTGTATGGCTCTGTGACGCCCTTGGTGATCAGATCATCAATCATAACACCGATGTAACCGTCTGCTCTCGAAATAGAGGCTGGTGAAAGACCCTGAGCAGCTCGGCCAGCATTGATGCCAGCGACAATGCCTTGCCCTGCCGCCTCCTCGTAACCTGTAGTGCCGTTAATCTGGCCTGCCAGGTACAAGCCGGCAATGTTCTTTGTCTCCAGAGTAGACTTTAGGCTCCGGGGATCAATGTAATCATATTCGACACCGTATCCTGGTTGCGTCATGACAGAGCGCTCCAAGCCCCTAATTGAGCGAAGGATCTGTTCTTGAGCTTCAGGCGGGACAGTCATCGATAGGCCGTTAGGATAAATCACGTCGCTGTCAAAACCCTCGGGCTCCAGCCACACGATGTGCCTTTCCTTGTCAGAGAAGCGGACAATCTTGGCTTCCAAGGATGGGCAGTATCTGGGACCCCTAATGGTTTCCCGAATGTGTATTGTTTTGTCCAGATTTTCGCGGACAATTGCGTGTGTTGTTTCATTCGTGTAAGTGATGTAGCAGAGCATCTGATCCTGCACAGCGACCTGACTGTTCAGAAAGCTGAAGGGTAGGGGTGGATCGTCCCCTGGTTGTTCTTCCAATATTGAGTAGTTGATACTGTCCTTGGCAATACGAGGCGGTGTGCCCGTCTTCAGCCTTCCTAGGCTAAAGCCCGCGTCCTTGAGCGACTTGCTCAGACCATACGAGGCATCCTCTCCGATGCGACCTGCCGGGTAACATTCCATACCAATGTGTATCTCGCCGCTCAGGAACGTGCCGGTTGTGATGATGACCTGGGTGGTAGGGAGGACTTCGCCAGACTCCAGACGTACACCGGTAATCCTGTTTTTCGCCGCGCTCGTAGCATCAAGAGTGACATCTGTCACAATGTCGGAGACGCTGCCAAGTACAACGGACAAGTTTGGATACGTTTCCAGCTCTTCTCTCATGTATCTCTGGTAAAGTTTTCGGTCGATTTGCGCCCGAGGGCCCTGTGAGGTGAATCAGTCATGCAACCCGCCAGGACGACCATAAATGATGGAAAATCCTTACCCATACGGCGCGGCCTTTTGAACGGTTCAGGACCTTGAACTGGATGCCAGCCTTGTCAATGATTCTGCCGGCTAATCCATCCAGAGCATCGATCTCGCGCAAGATGATGCCCTTTCCAATACCGCCGAACGAAGGGTTACAAGAGCAGGTGCCGAGATTCTCCATTTTCGGGGTGACCAGGGCCGTCTTTGCGCCGGCTCTGGCGGCGGCGGCGCATGCTTCTGCGCCGGCATGACCACCTCCTACGACGACAACGTCGAAAGGCCTGCGACCTTGTATTAGCGCAATGCGAATCGGATTGTTAAGTACGATCAGACCTTGTGCCCTCTGCCACAGCAGCAAATCCCCGCCTGCCTTGACTACGGGACGGATTTGGACGTTGCATACATCCGGAGCCGCAGAAGCCGCGCCGTCGAAGCCTCAGAGCCGCCGCAAGGGATCGCATGTCTCGTTGACAGGGGAAGAAGCCAACAATGTAGATCCGACGCGGGCAGCCAAAGCTTCAAAGTAAAGGAGGAGAGCAAAATGATTCGGGAGAGAGGCGTGTGAGGAGATGGTATTAAACCGTCGGCCACCCGATCGCCATACTTGCGCCGATCCTCGTGTTTCCCTCTCTCCCTCTTTTTTTTTTTTTTTTTTTTTTTTGCGCCTTCCGCGCTCGGCCCCAACTTGCTAGCCCCTTGACCGGCAGTCGGTGACAACAAACACCGATAGCGATGTGGCGCTACCCGACCTTATCTACGTAACTGCACTATGGTTACAGCGTGGCTAATAAGTAGTATGCAATCTGCAATCTATATATACCGTGCAAAGCAGACAATCAACAAACCTCCAAGCATCTGCCAGGACGTTGATTCACGACTGGCAGGCATCCAGCCAATTAGCCATTGTCATTGAAGAAGTGTCATAAAAAGATCGATACAGGCTTGCTTCCATTTGTCTGGAGTTCGCGGAACCAACTCTGTCCGGTCCCCGATGCTTTTACCGTCTCGTTCCCATTTTCTGCGAATCGGGCCATGAGGACACAGCATCTTCGACTTCCTCGAGATACGTTGAAGCATTATGAACGGTTGTGCCGCCCAAAACCAGTCGAACACCGGGTGTGCTTGCATTGATGGTCGCAACCATCTTGGCCTCTTCATATGTTGCACCTCCGACCATGAAAACAATTATGTCCTGCGGCTTATCTCGTGTAGTCCCGCCACCCTCGACAAATGGATATTGTTGTTCTTTGAGTCTCCCCCGGATCAAATTTTGTAAGGTGCTCTCCATCAGGGGACTGTGCTGGGTATAGACATTCTCAACACCTTTAAGCCCCTTGAATCGATTGCCCGCTGAGCCAAAAATACCCGCTGATTCGAATATGTCTGTGATGCCTGTCTGTGCCTGTGACTGCTGCAGAGACGATTGATAAGACACTAACTTCGGGACGAGATCTGCTCGCCGTACCGAAACCCCACCAGCTGCCACCAGAAGGTCAATGAGCATCGGAAGAGAGTTCGACGGGTTGCGCTCATATCGCAGTGCGTACAGAGCAACCAAGGCAATCTTGCTGTCACTTATTACCTTCGGGGACTGGATGAGCTTTTGGATGTTCTGTCAAGAGAGCAGTTAGTCAACCTTGCTCGGGATCATGGTCGTTCGTGGGACTTTTCTGGCACATACCTTTACGTCGGCCGCATGGTTATCATTGCATGCTAGGCTCTGCTCGAGCTCGCTGACTTCAAGAAGATTTTCCGCGCCCACCCGCCTGCTCAACTCTGAGACCAAGGTGACATGCTTGCTCACATTGCCCGACAGCTTTCGGAATTCCGGATACTCCTCGATGAAACGCTTCATATCAGATATGGACTCGATGTTGGCGTTGTTTTGCGTTTTGGATTGGTACTGTTCCACGTAGTCCTTGATGTTTCCACCTAGGTCGCCGAAGTTGAGATACATGTTCTTCTTGAAGAAGGGATCTTGATCTTGAGACAGAACAATTTCCTTGAGCTCCGGCCGAATGTCCGGAACATCACTCAAATCGACTCTACCGTTGTTGATTCCTAGGAGATGATGCACCATGGCTTGATACGTCCACTGGGTAAGTAGCGGCGTGACCGGATCCTCGCGACGGTCAAGGATCAGAAGAATGGGAGGGGTGTCCACCTTTCTGAAATCGAACAGCTGCTCTTCCTGGGTGATGCGATAGCGGACTTCCGTTGCCAACTTCTTAGTGAGCGGGCTCGTGTTGGCATATCTAATCAAAGGCTTCTTCTTGAGCGCCAGCAATAGAGCAACGAGTCCATCCGCACTTCGCTGAAGCGCGTCCGGGTTCCAGGTGTGTGGGCCACTCCCCCAAATGCGTTGATGAGGAAGGCTGAGTCCGAGAGAAAATAAGTCCGGGTTAATGACAATGAAGTCGGCAAAATGCTCCTGAACTAGCTTGACCACCTCGTGATCGTCCGCCTCAGCAAGCCTTTCGAGCGATGATTTCTTCACAACGTTGGTGAAGTACAAGTGGTATTCGCCATATTTGGGCTCGCGCAGTTCATCGATGAGCAGCTGGATAGATTCTGGTGATGGCCGTACGAGACATAAGCATCGAAGATGACGCATCTTTTCTCTGCTGGGATTATCGATCCGGTCGATTAAATACACTTCGTGGTTAAGCAGAGAAGATTGCGTAATGGCGGTGGACACGATAGGCACGGTTTCCCGGTCCAGCAGTAGGACCTTCATCTTGGCCGACTGTGTGTTCGAAAGAGGGTCGGCTGATGAAACCATGCGTGATACGTAGCCGGCCACTGCTTGAGCCACGTCCATCTTGGCCAACAACACGAGACAAGCTCGGTAGGTCGCGAATGTGTATGTAGTGTCTCTGTCCGGCGCAGGAAGGCGAGCAACTATGCGGAGCCCACAGCACTGCCAATTGTTGAGGCAGATGAAGAGGTCTTGGCTGTGTTGGCTGCGATAAACTCGTGGAAGAAGTGAGGCGTCGAAATTGTCGATGTTTGGGCAAAGGGATGGAGGTGATGAAGGATAGGATGCCTGCCTCGATTTGTGTCGTCGTCCATAGCTTCGTGGCGCATGCCACACAATTGAGCCACACAATGAGCTTCTTACCTACTCGGCCACGGTGGTGCCTTAGGTAGGGAGGCATAGTCGAGACGGTAATAGACCGTGAAACCCACAGTGCGGGGCTTTGATTCAGGGGACCTGAGGCAGTACACCTAGGTAAGGTAGGCACCTACCGAAGACCTGAAGGAACTGCAACTCTCTACCATACCTAAGGTACCTACCTAAGGTAGGTAAGCAATTGCCACGCAACAACTCCTCTGTGTGGCCATCGCTATAAGCCAATCCACGCCCTGGGATATTCGCAAAAACAGCAAACCGAATTTCCCGGTTCTTTCTTCTTCAATGCAACTATACTGCTGTCTCGAGAACAACGCCACTCCACAGTCTGCTTGTTTGTTGGCTGTCTTGCGACTATGACGAGTCTACCAACAGACACCTGCCCGGCAAAAGCCGAACCTGCGTGAGTCACGAACCAGCGAATTCTCTCCAAGGAAAAGACGTTAGTATTATGTAGAGCGGATCTGACAATACGAATGCTCTCCCAGACTTTCCTTCACCCAGGGCTTAATTCTGGGACAGCTGTCGGTGGTCATCGTTCTAGCGGCCTTTATCAAATTCTTCATTTTTGGTGATCCTCCCTCGCCTGAGGTGACGGCCTCGCTCAGAGCTACGGAACGTCGATCCCGGACACTCGCCCACAAGCGATCTCTTTTGAGTCTGCGGACGGCCAACGCTCGGCAGGGCCAGCAGACGCTCAATCGCAAGAAGTCTAGCGTACTCCGGAATCCTCCTAACTTGACCATTGGCTCTATCTTGAGCAAAACATACTACAATGTGGACAGCCATCAGCCGGAGAGCCTTGACTGGTTCAACGTCCTGATAGCCCAGACCATTGCCCAGTTACGCAGCGACGCCCAGCACGACGACGCAATTCTTACGTCTCTCACGAAGGCTCTTAATGGAACATCTCGCCCCGACTTCGTGGACGAGATCCGTGTTACTGAGCTGAGCCTTGGGGAGGACTTCCCCATCTTCAGCAACTGTCGTATCATTCCGGTGGACGAGGATGGTTTGAGTGTGGGAAATGGCAAGACGCTCGATGCCAGCGCTGCCACCAGGGAAGGAGCTAAGCTGCAAGCTCGGATGGATGTGGATCTCAGCGACATGCTGACAATGGCCATCGAGACGAAGCTTCTCCTCAATTATCCGAAGAAGCTAAGTGCAGTGCTGCCGGTGGCACTGTCAGTCTCTGTCGTCAGGTTCAGCGGCACTCTTTCGATCTCCTTCATTCCCAGCAACCCTTCGCAGTCGACCCCTACTATGATGACGTTCAACTTTCTCGATGATTACCGGCTTGACCTCTCAATTCGTAGCCTTCTAGGAAGCCGATCGAGGCTCCAGGATGTGCCTAAAATCGCCCAGCTCATTGAAGCACGTCTGCACCGCTGGTTTGACGAGCGATGTGTAGAACCCCGTTTCCAGGAGATTGCTTTGCCTAGTTTCTGGCCACGGAAGAAGAACACTAGAGGGCCCGAGGACGCACTGGCAGAGACGAATGCACCAGTAGGCAGGGCAAAAGGGAAGGAGATTGATCAGAATTTGCGAGCAGAGGCCCGAAGAGAAGTAGAGGCCGAAACAGGAGGCAGGACAGGGCGAGAGCATGATTCTCTGCGTCGGCGCAGATTAAGAAGCGATGACTTCTCGATGCCTGGGTCTTTACCAGGGCTAGATTTAGACATGAGGACATGATTCAATTGGTATTTATAGGCGGTCTCAAAACCGGCCAGGAACCAGGGTTGACGAACTCTCCGTGAGGGTAAGGAGGCCTTTCCACCACAGACCTGCCCCGGTAAACAAAAGTACATAGTAGAATACCGTCCATTTCCGAGCGTCTGCGTGCGTGTAATGTCCATGAAGATGCCAGTGGGGCTCGACAGATCCCCAGAACCGGGGAAGGCCCATGGAGTTGCAAAATGCATGTACCAAGACGATGGCCAGTAGACTACCGGATCGCAAAAAAAGGAATGTGGCATAGCCACCAAACAGAGAAGTGTATGCGAACTGAAGTACTGAGCGAGCGACGGCGGCGATTAGGGGTACTCTGGGGTGGGTGATGCGGAATTCGTAGAAGTGATGGACATGGGCGAGGCCGAATATGAGAGGGGATAGAAAGATGGTTTGAGTTAACGACATATGAGCGCACAAGAGTAGCGGCACTGAAGCAGATCGGAACAGCATTTCCTCGGTCAGAGGTCCCTATGATCCAAGTGAGTATGAAATTGCAAGAAAGGATACAGAAAGTTGAGGTGACACACCATCACAATGTTGCGCCAAGTGGTCCACCGGGTCCAGACATGCGTAAGAGGCTCTAGAGTTTTCCAATCCTCCCAGAGTCCGTCTATGAGAAGGGCTTCGTAGAGTGGGCCAGCGAAGAGAATGGAAGTGAGAAGCAAAGCGCTGCCAGATTCCGCGAGGCCCACTGGCCAGTAGCCCATGGCGTGGAGGGGAGAGATGGGCAGGACGCCGTCCGGAAGTTGAGCCAAGACGATGTAAGTGATGGTGCAGCAGATGACAGTAGAAAACAGAACGGAAGTGACACGTGTACGAATCACTCGCGGGTCGTCCCTGGACAAAGTTGGCGAGGGACGACTGGACGACGAGATGTACAGCGGAAGCACATAAATGCTTGTGTACAGAACCTGGCTAATTATGAGCGGGGGAGTCAAGCAGTGGCAGTTGAAGAACTTGGACATACCAACATGGCGCTGACAGCGAAGGGATGCAAAGAGGGCGGCACCATATCAGACGGCCCTGGGTCGGGGCCGAAGCCGAAGCTAGGAGAGGACATGGAGGTATGCGCCGTCGCAGCCCGGGGGCGTCGCCAAGTGACTGAGAGACGGGACTGGCGATAGGAGAAACTCAAGACACAGGGCAACGAATTGGCTCGACAAGATAAAGCTAGCTACCTTAGGCCAAGGTTTGGTATCATGATGTGAGGCGGTATCACACTTGCACCCACGTCTCCAAGTTGCTGAAGTCCATTGATTACGTAACAAGGCCTAAGACCCAGAATCAACCTCAGGTACCTACCCAGGAACCCATCGGCAGCTGGTCCACGGGGACATGTGTGCGGGATTCCGCCACGCACCTTATACTGTCGTGGCGCCTCTGGTTTTCGAAGCGCATTTTCGAAGCGCCGGTGCCAGGTTGCAATGCATTACCTTAGGCAGAAACACGGCCTCATTCTCACATATGCATTCGTTGTGTATGTCTTGCGTTCGAATGTGCTTTTAGCATATAAACAGCTGCGACTTCTCACACAGCCGCGGTTTCTTACACGACCGATGCACGATCAATTCAAGGCCTGCAGACTGCAGAGGGGGCCGGCGGCTAAGGTAAGGTACTGGGCAATGGGTGGCAGGGTGGATCCGACGAACGCGTTAGAAGCTGAGATGAGGCTGTTGGTACCGGAAATGTTGAACGCGACTGAGCCGCGCGATCTATACTTATCCTGCCATTGGATGCGCCGCGGCCCTCGCCTGGCCTTCGACTTCAACGTCCCCCGTATACGGTAAGGTGCTGTACCTACCTCCCTACCTACCTAGGTACTACGCGGTAGATTGGAAGTTTTCTCGGCTGGTTGTTTCTCCGCAGGGGAGCGCCCAGGCCCGGGCCCCGAGCAGGCCACTGGTTAATGAAACGTCAGGCCCTCCAGGCGCCGCTGTCAAAGTTAATCGCTCTCGTACGGATGGCCTCAAGGCAGGTTCTCTCCTCTGCTACGTACCTATTCTCTATGATTGTTTGCATCTCTGACGGAAGAGATTTTGCTTTCGGCAAGCCCGTCCAGTGGGAATGACGCACCGACCTACGCTGGCTGCAGCAACGAGATAGCTTTAAGCACACCAAAGTAAATAATGGCGGTCAGATAGAGCACAGCGCTGAAAATGACAAACGCCCTGAGGCTAGGATTTTGCTGGCCATCGACTTGAAGCTGGCGAGCGTTTGAGTCCTGCCGTATCATCATGGGCAACGGTCAACCGAGCGCCTCAGCAAGAAAGAATCTCGCACTGCGACGGTCTGCCAAGATTAGGAGGGTTGTTTTCAGTGTTTATTCACTTCCTCTTTCGGTGTGTCGTCATACGTATTGCGTATCCGTACCTTACCGTACCTCACGGACGCTGTCTCCGCATCTCATCAAATATCCTTCAAGAGTCTTAAGGTCAAGTTTGATTGAGAAACGTATTGCGGGTACTGTAGCGAGCAAAATGCCCACTTGTGCCTCCAGTGCCCAGGTGCTGTGGAAGGTTTATCCCGGCCCTGCCTGTCCAAGATGTGGTGGACCACGCAAGGTCCCATTTTCGAGTGCACGCTGAAGACGTGGATGGTCTTAGTATAATTAGTGTGTTGCCAGCACACCGGATAGACCCACGGATGCATGGATAGGATCACAGCGAGAAGCGCGTTCAGACTCGCACAACATCCATTCGTCAAGCGGGAGCTGCCAGAGCCGCTGGCTGGTAAGTCGCAACGGCGCGTGGCGGTTGGTTACGGGGCGTAGACACGGACTTAGGTACCCTACCTACCTAGGTAAGGTACCTTAGGTTTGGTGGACGTCGGGTGGTCCAAAGGAAGGCCGTAGGTATTCCATGACTGTCTCTGTCTCTTTCTGAGCCCTGCGCTAGATTAGCGTCGAAGGCCCTGAGTGCGTGCTAGACTTAGCTCTAGCAGGACATACCTACTCGGGC